GGGGAGGGAACTCGGTGGTTCGCCCCATGCATCTCTTGGTTGTGAAGTCTTTTCCGTTTGACACGGATGTCTTGCTTGGCTTTAAGGACTTACGGAAGAAAGGCTTATCCCTCATGTGGACGAAGCAAGATTGGTTGGCAGTGGTTCTTCAGACGCAGGTCATAGACTTCTTGGAGTCTCAAGCGGCAGATGAAGACCAGCCGGAAGTGATGAGCCTGCCAGATAAGCGGGCGAAAGCGCGGCGCACACAGGATAGAAGCAAGAGGCAAAAGCTTGATGTGCAAATGCCACAGAACCTGAAACTCAACGCGCTATGCAGCCATCTCGGCTTGCGTGTGATTCCCAGGAACAAGTTTAAGGAGCAGCAACGCAAGAATTACATTGCGTCTGCGCAAGCGCACTTTATGAAGATCAAGTAGAGGTTGGACTACTTGGCCAACGTGGCGGAGCTGGACGATGCAGACGAGTATGTGTTACCTCGTCTTCATGATTTGCTGGCGGATGTCGATATGCCTATTAGCGCGACAACTGTATCCCCGGCCAAAGAAGTGGATCCGCAAGCGCACTTGGAGCTCGATCAGCCCCAGCTACGTATGCTGCATAAGGCTTGTCGTGAGTTGGACATCATGATCAAAGACATTCAGTCTGTGGCATACAATGCGGCTGCTCCCACTTTCATGGTTTTTGATGATATCCAGTTTCGTAATGGGGTTGAATTCAAAGTGAACGAGGGGTCGCAACCGTGTTATAATGTTTACCCCAACAAGGATCCCATTTTCACCACGGTGCTTGGTGGGAAGGTTGGTGACTGGGATCATGGTGGTGTCACTCGTGAGATATCGGAAATTGAGGCAAAAAGCTATTGTGCGATGCCGTATATGGTCTTTTAGAAGTCAAGCCTGGGTTTGTACCGCTGTCGGTTAATAACTGGCGGTGTTGTATTAATTACAAAAAACCTCAACGGTACGTTAGAGTGTGAGGTATATTCAGTTGTGTCTACAGAGCAGAAGTTCTTGTTGTCGGTACGCGGCAAGAAGTACCGCACCATGGTATGTCAGGTAGATCTCGGGCAAGGGTTCTGCTAGCTCAAGGTTGCGGAGGGATCGCAGCATCTCTTGACGTTCTGGACGCCTAGGGGCAAGCGCACATTCCGCCGTTTGGTATCAAGCCGGCGTCTTGGATTATGCAACAAAGGATGGAACATGCCTTCCAAAGCGTGGACGGCCTAAGACATACAACGATGATATGGGGGTGGGCGACAATGATGCCAAGCAGCATTGGAAGAGCATCAAAGTTTTGATCGCGGCCTGTAAGAAGCACAATGTCAAGCTGAATCTGAAGAAGTGTTGCTTTGATTTATGGGACCGAGTAGTTCTGGCGCTGGGTCAGTTAGTAAATGAAGAGGGCCCTGATATCAGTAAAGATCGGATAGAGTCTATTCTACTCATGCCTCCACCCACGGATAAGGACCTGTTGGCGTCCTGGTCCAGTACATTCCAGACTATTCTAGGACCATGACACCTATCTCGGATCTCAGCAAGAAGGACGTTCGTTTTGTGTGGGGTCCGATCCAGCAAGAGGCATTTGATCGCATCCGAGCTCAAGTGGCCATGAGGGGGGTTCTGGTCGAACCTAGGTTCGAGGATAAGTTGGAGATGTACTGCGACGCGTGTGACTCTGTAGGAGTGGGTGGGGGGTTGTTCGCTCGGCGAGAAAAGAAGCTCGCATAAGTCGTGGCGCATCGTCAAGAGGTCGCAGCATCCGCTCACGATCTACACGGATCATGAGCCATTGGTCGCGACGTCGACAAAGGATCCAAAGTCGTATGATTCGTCGGTTAGAGGCCGGAGGATGGCTCGCTTTGCTCATGTGCTGAGATACTTTGATATAGTACTCAAGCACATACCGGGTAAGTTGAATCAATTTTTTTGTGTAGCAGATGGACAGTCACGGTTAGGCTACCACATTGACCCGATCATGCAGGCGCGAAGTGCTCCGGTTGAGGAGCGAGTCCATTGGAGTGAGCCGGTGGTGGTGGAACCTATGACGGAGTCCTATGCCTTGAGTAAGAGTTGGTTGACCAAGATATGGGACAAATTTGGCCCATTTGATGCGGAAGGATTTGCATATCCGACAAATTATCGGATGAAGCCGTTTTACCAGCCTACGCGGGGGGGATTGCTTTGCGCACTTGGATGGGTACTATAAGATTCGGTCTCTCAAGGCGATATTAACGCCTTAGAATAAATAAACGCGTAGGTAAATTCGAAGTATCGTGAAAATATCAAAGTAAATAAACGAAATAAGATATCTAGTAAAGTTAGGTATGCCTCGTGAAGACAGCAATACTCTGAGGGATTGTGAGGCTAAGACATTGCCTATATATAATCCTCTGAGTACTGTTTCCACCGAAGGGATTTTATTTAGTGTTTCGTTGTCGCTCTATTAGAAACTATGGTATGTTTCACTGGGGCGAATCCGAGAGACTCATAAAATCCTATCTTTAGAAGAAAAAAACAAAAAAACAAAAAAACTCATGTCTTTAGTTATTGTCTTAACCGCCACTTATCAAGAATTACCGACTTAGCCTTCATCAGAATGGCACATCTGGTTGGCTGATCGGAGGATCAACTAGGTAACGTTAATAGTCCCTAGAAACCTATATTCGGTTGAGCCATCTCGCTACCAAAGTATTCAGATATAAATAAAGTTGGAAAGTAAATAAAGTTCTATTAACAGAACTAGACGAACTCTTTATGTTTGGTATTTTACTGAGGCCTTTCAATGGCCTCGTCCAAATATCTGATATGTAAAATAAAAAAGGTATTAATTAATAAAACCATTAAAAACCATTTTAGGATACTTAGAGTCTGATGCGTCCGCTGCTATTTCAAACGGCACGCCATCGACTGGCCCTTGTACAACTGGGGCTTGTTGGACTGCGTGTTTGAGCGCTTTAAATGCGTCATCACACTCTTTAGTCCACAAATCTCCTAGTTTGCCTTTATGACATCTTAAGTGTCCAAAAGATTTTAGGTAATCAGCCAAGTGTGATACTCCATCTGAAAAGAAGTTTACAAACCCACACATGCTGTTAACACCTTTTCCTATAGTTGGTGTTCGCCAATATAACAGGTGTTCTACCTTACCGGGGTCGATCTTAACACCTGCCCTAAATATATGGTAGCCTAAGAGCTGTATTTCGCTCATTGCGAAGTGGCATTTCTTCTCGTTAATCTTGAAGTTTTGCTCATTGAGTCTCTTAAGGACTCGTCTGACTAATGCGGCGTGTTCGCCTGTAGTCTTAGAAAAGATGACTATGTCATCTATATAGACTTGCACGTTAGGCATGTCTGCAAACATTTCTTCCATTACTTGTTGGAAGAATGCTGGTAAAGAGTGTAACCCGAAAGCTGCACCTCTGAACCGGTGTTGTTGCCTTTCCACGTAAAGCTAAAGTATTTACGGCGGGGTTCATATACCTGCATTTGATGGTATCCTTGTGTAAGGTTTATAGTTGTAAACACTGTAGCACCTTCCATCCTTCGCAGTAGCTCGTTAATACGGGGAAAGTGAAAGCTATGAGTCGGCAATAATTTATTTATTGGACTCATATCTAAACATACTCTGACTTTCTTAAACGATCCGTCAGAGTTATGTTGGTCTACGGCTAGCAGTGCCAAGTTAACTGGCGTTTGTTGATAGTTAATTTCTATCACACCATCTGCTAGCCATTTCTCAACTTGTTCTTTTACAACAGCCTCGTGTCTCCAGGATACATAGTTCCTTGAGGGACACTTTAACTGTGTAAAGTCTACCTTGGTTAAGTCAAGGCTGACATATCCGTCGTTAAAGCGGAATTTTGCCCAATCTGTGATCTTTATCTTCTTATTAACTAGAATCAGATCCATAATTTTGTCCGCAAAGTCAGGTATTAATGCCTTGACTGTGTCTGACGGGGGCTTATATGGATTCAAACAGTTATCGTCTGATTGATCCTTTAATGGATCTATGTTAGTTGTGCATTATGATGTGTAGCAAACATATCTATGGTATGTGGCCCTTATATCTTTTGAGCCAGGTCAAACCACCTGGGATTACACTTCCAGTCAGTGGCTAGTAACTCACGTACGGATTTATTAAAGTCCGGTACGAAGCATGATAACATATCCGGTAAATGGTTATGTATACCTGGCAGATGTTTTATATGAAAACGAAACTTTGATATTGTATCATGCCAGCGACTCAGTAATTGCGGGTCGGGGTTCATCTCTTTCATATAATGAAGAGATTTCTGATCACACATCAGCGTAAATGCTGTTCCGTATAAGTAATCTCGGAAGTGTGTTAGAGCTGCCACTTTGGCTAATAGCTCTTGTTTAATAGTTGGATAATTCAACTGTGAAGCATTCATTGCTCGACTAAAGAGTTGTATATATCTAGGTTTGTCATCTATAACCTGATATAATACTCCTGCTAAGGCTAAGTCTGATGCGTCCGTTGCTATTTCAAACGGCACGCCATCGACTGGCCCTATCAACGCAAGGATTTTATTTTCATTGCAGTATACAGGGATTATTACACGCTCATCTAAAGAGTCGTTGTATTGTCTGTGTAACAATTGTACCCGGTAGTATCGTCAGTCCAACTTAATGTCGGGTCTGATTAGGGTTTTAGGGTTTGATTTAGTGTTTTTAGGGTTTAGACATTTATCACATTTTGTAAGATAGTGTTTACAAGATTGGGCATGCTTTCCGTTCTAGTAACCGTTAGGGGTTAACTGGTACATGTCATAACCACGAATGGAGTGTCTTCACCCGTATCTGTTGTATTGTTCTGATTATTAATACCAGTAGCAATGATTTCGGTTACAGATTGATTGTCCTCTTCTGCGGTCGCGTTTAATGCGGCTGCAGTAGCGGCGTCTCTCTCCATCATATTCTTTACAGCTCTACGCTTCTTAGAAGGAGTATTGTCTTTCTTGGTCATAATCTTAACTTATGACTGTAGTTGGTCTCTTAAGAACTAGCTTGGACAAGAAAAAAAATTGTGGTAGTTTTCTACCTTTACGTTTAAGTAGTCTAAGTAGTTGATACCTTTGCTAACTTTAAAATGTGTAAGATTCGGTCACTCAAGGCGATATTAACGCCTTAGAATAAATAAACGAGTAGGTAAATTCGAAGTATTTTGAAAATATTAAAGTAAATAAACGAAATAAGACATTTAGTAAAGTTAGGTAAGCCTCGTGAAAACAGCAATACTCTGAGGGATTGTGAGGCTGACATTGTCTATAAATAATCCTCTCAGTACTGTTTCCGCCGAAGGGATTTTATTTAGTGTTTCGTTGTCGCTCTCCTTAGTTATTGTCTTAACCGCCACTTATCAAGAATTACCGACTTAGCCTTCATCAGACTGGCACATATGGTTGGCTGATCGGAGGATCAACTAGGTAACGTTAATAGTCCCTAGAAACCTATATTCGGTTGAGCCATCTCGCTACCAAAGTATTCAGATATAAATAAAGTTGGAAAGTAAATAAAGTTCTATTAATAGAACTAGATGAACTTTTTGTGTTTGGTATTTTACTGAGGCCTTTCAATGGCCTCATCCAAATATCTGATATGTTAAATGGAGAAGGTTTAATTAATAAAACCATTAAACACCATTTTAGGAAACTTAATTCCCTCGTGCTATTAAGAGTACATTTAGGAAACTTTAGTTCCTCGTACTATTAAGAGTACATTTAGGAAACTTAAATTCCTCGTACTATTAAGAGTACGCTTATAATTTACGTACTAATAAGAGTACGTTTATAATTTATGTACTGCTTAAGTGTACGTTTATAACATAGAGTCTAATATGGAGGCCCGGCTTATTACAGTACTAGGTGGCACTCAACCCTAAGTGGTCAGATTTAGGAAGAGTGGTAACCAGGATCAGGAGAGACAGGGCAACGGCTACGTTGGTGTGTCCGTATGCTCCTGAGGCAAGGTGGTTCAAGGAGATGGTACCCATTCTTTCAGCAGATCCGGTGGTGATCTACCCAAAGAAGGATGTTTTTTTAAAGCATGGCCGTGAGGTTATGCCGGCGCCCAACTTTGTGACACTGGTGTGTCACATCAGTCCGTACAGACCGCACAACTTGCGCAAGGACTTTTGGGAGAAGTTGGAAGCGGAGCGTTTCGTCTTCGAGAGGTTAGCTGCGGCGGCAGTAAAACGTGAGGATGATGTTGTCTCCTGTATGGTACAGGAGGACACAGTGGGTGCTGTGACTCATCCGAGTGGTAAGAGAGCTAGGTGTGGGCTTCCTGCAGAGGAAGCAGGGCTAGAGACCACACCTATCTCTGCGGTAGGTGCGTTTTCCACGCAGTCCTAACAGGATCCCCAGCGAGGTGTTGGACCAGTCAGTACTTTTCTTTCTTGTTTTTCATTGGAATATCGATTCAGCGAGTGGGTCTTGGGAAAAACCCGATTGTTTAGGTTTAAACCCAGAGCGAGTGGTTTACCTGTCCCGTGACCATGTCGAGGAATAGTGATGACACATTGTTGGTAAAATTCACACACACATAAAGCCAAATATTTACTAATTTTACATATTCGAAAAGTAAAATTACTACACAAGAGAATGTAGCAATTTTTTATTTTTTCTCTTCGCGACCGCCGAATACACTCGCTATAAAATAGTCATATGTAACTGTTCAGGAAAATCTCCAACTCACTCTGGGGTATTTCTCTCTTTATAGTATCATGACTGTTTCGGTACCAGGTAAGATTATGAAAATTGGAGGAGTACCCGAACACTTCAACGAGCCAATCTACATCGGCAGCGAGGAGAAGGTGTGTTCTTGAGTTGGTTTCATGTTCACTGATATTCTGAGCGACGTGATGGTTAGGAGATTGAGGNTATATATATATATATATATATATTAATATTATATATATATATATATATATATATATATATATATATATATATATATATATATATATATAT